CGATGGGGAGTTCTTAGTCGTAAATAAAGGAGGGGGTGGAGAGAGAGAGAGAGAGAGAGAGAGAGAGAGAGAAAGAGAGAGGTGGGCCCTCTCATTTTTTTAATAATTAAAATGAATAAATAATTATTAAATTAAAAAAAAACAAATTTAAAAATGGAAAATAAATACCCAAGGGCATTACAGTCATTTCACTATTCAAGGGGACCAAAAACGCAATGGAACTAGCTCAAAAGGACCACAAAACCAAAAAACTCGTGGTTTGGACTTTTTTCCTGAAAAAATGCAAACCACAGGGACTATTTTTGCAATTTTCTGAAGTGAATTTTTTTTTTTTTTTGAATTATTAGTTGTGAAATTTATGTATTCTATGGGTTAATTAAAAAAAAATTATATAGGTCAAAATATTTAAAAACTTTGAATTTATAAGAAAATTTAAAAAAAAATTATCTTTTAAAGTTAAACAAATAATTTAAAAAATAAAAGAAACTAATGAGTTTTAATTTTAAAACTAAAAGATAAGTTCATTAATGAAAATAATATCTATTTATTATTATATTTATTGCAGTTATTACATTAAAATATTATATATAATTTAATAAAATGGAAAAACTCATAAAATGATATGTGAAAAAAAAATTAATTCAAAATAACCACAAAATAATATTTGACAAATGGAATGAGAGTGTAACAAGTGGCAAAAAAAGCATTCACTTATTATAGATTATAGACTATGTGTAAAACTCATGTATTACATGGGTTTTATTTAAAGAAAAAAATTAAATTCTAAAATTTGAAAAGTTTGAATTTATAAGAAAAAATAAAAAATATTGAATTATTAAAATTAAATTGTTTGTTTTTCTTTTAAATTAAATAAATAACATAGATTAATAAACAAAGGAATCTAATGAAACTTTAATTTAGAAAATTTGAAATTAGAAGAAAGTCAATTAATGAAATTGATATGCATTTATTATTACATTTAAATATTATGTGAAAATTAATAAAATGAAAAAACCACAAAATATCATGTGGAAAAAAATTAATTGAAAATAACCACAAAATGACATGTGGTAAAATCAATAAGAGTGTGACATGTGGCAAAAAGTTCTTTATTTATTAAAGATGATGATTAATAAAATATGTATAACTAAATAGACAAAACTGTAAAATTGATCACTGTAGTATTCAAAAAATTTTGGATATGATCCAAAAAGTTTTCAATTTTGCATGAATATTCCAAAATCAATAATTTTTTGTGGTTTTTGGTCTTAAAAAGTTGAAAGGACTATTTTGCCCTTATTTTTTTACATTTTATTTATTTATTTAGTATTTAAATAATTATAAAAAATAGAAAATAAAATAAATCCCACAACCTCTCTCTCTCTCTCTCTCTCTTTCTTTCTCTCACACACACAAATAGATATACAAGATCTTCTTCATAAAAATGGATTTCACCATTACTATGGTAGTCTTAAGCTAGATCAACCATAGAAGCTCAAAGTTTTCGACCAAAAAAAATTGGTGTGAAGGGCCCCGTAGATGATGAAATCCGCCAAATCCCTCCCATTTTCTTCCAATCACCAAAACACATCCCACAAAACCTTAACTGTTGCAATCGACCTATAGAGCATACATGGTGGAGATGATCTGTGAAGGCTCGACAAAACTAGTCATTTTTCAGGTGGTGAATTATGGAATCCCTAAGATATTATTGGAGGTTTGTAGAGACATTCAAATCGAGTACTCAAATCATGTGATGAAATTAGGAGGCATACTTTTCCGATTATTCTCAAAGGCCTTGGTATTGGACGCAAATCACCTCGAGGATCTCAATTGTAGCAAGGGGCTTTTATTCTCCGACCATTATTGCCCTGCTTATCGACAGATAACCCTAGGGGCTTCACAAGAAATTAATCGGGTAAGAGATGTTTATGGTTTGATTTTGAGATCAAAGATAAAGGGCTTTAGCATTTTCAGAAGCGATCATTAGGGTAATTGACAGTTTAGGGTTTGATATTTCTAAGTGTTCTTGATGTTTTTATTTTGATTTTCAAAATGGGTTTGATGGTGAACGAAGATGAAAAATTAAAACTGATGGTTTGTGTTGTCTCTTTGAAGAAGATGCATTAAGATGTTTAAATGTGTAATAGATATGTCTAATATAATCGTTTTTGGAAAGCGTGTTTGTGTAGAGATGAAGATGGCAGAAATAATCTAGGTGGAGACGGAGCTGGTTGAAGGTGGTGGTGGTGGACAGTGATGGCAGTCGGCGGTAATAATGGAAGATGGTGGTTGATTTTACTTTCCACTGTTGAAGGTTTGTACTTAAGTGTTTGTGTATGTTTGTACTTTCTTGTGTATCAATATACATATGCTTGTCTATTTTGGAGAACAAAATCATAAAATGTGATGTGTGTATATGTGCTCATGAAAATGTTTATGATCTTGACTATGTGTTTTTGTGTTCCTAAAGATAAGAGAGAGAGAGAGAGGGGGGGGGAGATTTTAATTTTAATTTTTTAATTTTAATTATTTAAATACCTAAATAAATAAATGAAATAGAAAAAAGGAAATGAAAATGGTAAAATCAACTTTTCAAGTGTATCGGGGACCAAAAACCAGAAAAACATTGATTTTGGACCTTTCATGCAAGTTAGAAACTTTTTGGACCCTATCCAAACTTTTCTGAATACCATAGAGACCAATCTTGTAGTTTTTATCAATTATAATATTCTTGAAATTAGAATTAGGTTATTATCATACTGTTAGCAGTGGTATAGCTCGGATTTTGTTTTAGGGTATGCCAAATAATATACAAAATATGAAGAAGTGGCAAAAAATTTTAAATGATAACAAAATGTAACTATATATGCATTCTTAACTAAATTGTTTTTTTAAGTTGCATACGATGTCGTCTTACATCATTAAAATAAAGTTTAATAGACAACAATATATCATCTCCTACTAATTTCAAGTTATGAATGAAATAGATCATATCATAATCTTAACTCCTTTTATTTAACAAATATATATATATATATATATATATATATATATATATATATATATATATATATATATATATATATATATATATATATATATATATATATATATATATATATATATATATATATATATATATATATATATATATAACCTTAATATTGTGTGCATGGACCAAGGCACGTTCTTGCCCTATATTAGCTACGCCTCTAACTATTAGTGTTGGGTTAGATACAATTGGTTGCAAGGGTAGCTCATGCTACCTTCAATTTTTTCTTTTTCCTAACAAATGTAAATTTTTTTAAACTTTTTTATATAACGCAATGCTTCTAACGTGCTACTTTAGAATCATATATACAATATGCTATCTCTCACATCTTGATGATGGTCCATTATTTATTTGTTTAGACTTTAGAGAGGTTTCATCATCAACCTATCATGTAATATAATATTTATAAACAATTGAATGTTGTTGTCATTGGTGACCTTTTCTCTGGTTGGTCAAAAAAAAAATTAAAAATTAAACATAAAGGAAAATGCTCCACTAAGGTTATACCGAATGCATCTCCAATTTATCATGTTGAAGAGCTAGCCATATTAATCAAATATCAACTTATAAACCTTAGGAAATGATGTTATACTAGTAAGTTGTTTATGACTTGAAAAAAAATAAAGAGAGCAAAAATTATGTTTGTAACTCCGTTCACCTCGATCTACAACCACAAAATCTTTACTCAACTTGGAGATGATATTCACCATGTGGTGGCATTGACACCGTATCCTTACATTTATGGGAGGCGACCATCCACCAAACACAATCATTCCTAATAAATGAAAATAATTGTGACATATGTTACTTTCTCAATAACTTAAACACATGTCACTTTTTGGTATTTTTAAATAAATGTTTTTTTCATTTGTTATTTTCTCATTGTTTTATCTTTTCTTAATTAACACATCATATTTACACTTCAATTAATCATTGTTTTAATTGAAAATAACCAAAAATTTAAATATTAAGACTCATATAGTATTTAATATGTTTTTTTTTTTAATTTTAAATATCAAATCTAAAATTTCAAATTTAAATAAATTATTGTTTAAACTTTCATGTTTAATTTTTTGTTTTATCAATATACGGGTCTCACGCCTAGTTGTGGATATTTGTGTTAGATTTTCAATTGTTTTTTTCCTTTTTTATTCTTAAATAAATTTTATAAATGTTAAATTAGGTTTTATCTTTTTTAAAATAAAAATAAAAAATAGACTGAGATTTATAAAATAAAAGAAATTAAAAAATTAAAAAAGAATTATCTACAAATAAAGGTCAATATTTATATAGTTTTGTATAGTTTTACTTATTTTATTATAATAAAAAGTTTGGCTGATTTGAGTTGTTAATAGAATTGATAAAAAAAAATTATTTTAATTGGTTGGTTATATCACGAAAAAAGAAAATATATTTTAACGAATGGACGAGAGATTTTAGTTACTACCGAAAATAGTCTTATATTTATATAGTCAATTGGAAAGGATCAAGGGAGTATTCAATGGGATTGATGTATACGTGATACGTCGACACATGCAATGATGCAAACCACTATATAACCATGTATACACTATTTACTAATTCAACATCGTTTTCATACATGAGTACATGACATGATGACAAAATAGGAAGAGAAAAAACCTCTAGTCACCTACACTACAACTGCCATGTAATCTGATTTTTTTTTTTTTATTCATAATCCATTCTCTTCTTTAAATTCCTATACAGAAACCAACTTAAAATATAGTTTTTTAGGTGTACTTTGCCTAACTTTAACATGTTTGTGTCGAATATATATATATATATATATATATATATATATATATATATATATATATATATATATATATATATATATATATATATATATATATATATATATATATATATATATATATATATTATACATTCCTCCTGATTTTTATAAAGTTTATATATCTAAATGATTTGATTTTGTATTAGATCATTTATACATTGAATAATGAACATAAACAAACTCCCAAGATCCCATAGATACGAAAACAAGAAACCTTTATAGACATTAACCTTGTGTACTACTAATTTCCGAATTTTAGACAAAATTGCCGCATAACAAATGAAACCAAAACGGCGGCTATATCATTATCACCCACCCGACAACCTATTTTTTCAATAATAAATAGATAAGGTACGATGATGTTGAAGAGATGGATTTGAAACACCATATGCCCACAACCAAAGATCCAATTCCACACTCAACACCTACAAAACAAAAGCCCAAACTTACATACTTATCTAACCCAATAAAGTCGAATCAATATACAACCTCTTAATGGTTAAGAGACCCTACTTTCTCTTAACCATTAAGAGGTTACAATCATTAAGCCATGTATGGTTATCCAGATTAAGTGCTTAATCCATTAAGTCAAAAAAATAAAAAATAAAAAAAAGAACCTGTTTCCCGGTTCTTTTAACGATCAAATCCCTCATTTTTTCAACAGCATAAATCGAGCAAGCACGTAACTCAACTTCCTCCTCAGTGCCAGAGCCAATTTCCTTATTTGCCCCTATGATGTCAGCTAAGGAAGGACTATATCTCAATACTCCAAGCTGCTGAAGAACAGCAGGGACAATATAGTCCGCAAATATAGTGATTGAACCAACATCATCAAATTCTCCATACCCTTTTCCCTTAAATGCCCCCCATACATCAGCAGCAAAAATCTGAGCTCTTTTATACAAGAACACTTGGTGGCCTTTGTACACTGTGTGATCTCTAAAACCTATTTTGTAAAATTGTGTTAGACAATGGAAAGTGAAACCACAAAAGGGTAGAAACGTAAATACCAGGAAAATGACGTGCGATTGTAGCAACAAGATTTGTAGCTGATTTTCCACAAGATTCAACAATGTTGGATGCCTTTCCCTTGAAGCTTTTCTCCAACTCAAACCCAACCTAACACATACATATATGATATATACACATCAATTTTTTGGTTGGTTGAGGGCAGAAGTGTAATTTTACTTGTATTTTGAAAATTATAGAAACACTAAAATGTACCTCGTGGATTAAGCGAACACGTTCATCTTCTAAAGGAAGTGGTCTTGGCCATTTCAATAGTTCACGCAACTCAGGGCCTGAGAGTATGTAAGAAAGTTAAACAAGAAGAAGAAAAGTAAGGGGCAATCTGGTCATTTACACGGGAAAACACAAGAGTAGTAGTACCAGTGTACTTCTGAAGTCGATCAGCATCAAACACAGACTGATCATTTTCAAGAGCTGATTTCAATCCAGAAGCCAAATCATCATAGTTTAACTCTTGATCTGTTATCAGTTAACAAAATGTACAATCAACAAGTAGAATAAATCATCACAATAGTTATCCAACTGATGCTAATTACATTAGTTTTATGGCTATGATCTACAATACTCCTTTTGTCCCAATCTAAGGGAAAAACTTTAACATCTTATCGGGATTATGTTGCAACTTTACAGTAGCATTGTTCTATTTGTGGTTCTGGTTATGAAATCGAATACAGTAGTAACTTTTGTCTCGAAATTTTGATAATGCACAATCTCTTTGAAGCTTAAAAATAGCCTATTTGATCAGTTTTGATTAAAAAATCTAACAAAAAAATGCAATGTTACCTGGCCAAAAGCAGAAATTCAGAGCATCCAAAACGAACAAGTATTGAACAGTTAAAGGACCATTGTCGAAGTAATGAATCCCTTCGTAATTCCATTCGACTTTCGGGATAGAGTTTTCAACACTTTCCACCACTTTTTCAATGCCTGTGAACCGGAAAAAAAAACACAAACTACTTTCAAAAAGTTTACATGGAAACTGAACAGATTACACACGCAAAATCCGAACGAAAAACTCGAATGCAACCGTATGAACAAACAAAATGTGACTTCGCACAACAGCGTTTTCGATGGGAAGGGCATTATAAACGATGAAATCATACCTTCGGAATCGACGGTGACGTGAGAAGAATGAGAGGCGACCCAGGCGGAGCTAGCCCTAACTTCTTCCATGGCGGCGGCGGCGGAGGTGGAGGAGGAGGAAAATAAAAACTCTCTACAACCACCTGTTATTGATATATGGAGTGAATGTAGCGATGTGAGGGTACACGGTAAGGGTTACGTGGGTGGGGTAGGAGGTGATTAGAGCCCGCTGGTTTTGGGCGTTGGAACTTTCGCGCTTTCTGTTTGTTTTCCGACTTGTAAAAGTCACGTGTTTTTACTGTTTTTGGACCCTTGAGTTTGGATTGTAGCAACTTTTGCACTAAATAAACAATCAATCTTTTTACTACTTGAAATGGTGAGTTGTTGACTAAATTTTATATGAAGTCTTAATCATCTACTTTATCATTTTTCTTGAGTTTGAACTTTTTAAAAAGAAACTAAAATTATAAGCTTTCAAGTTTTTCATTTATGTATTTTTTTAATCATTGTTTAAAAATAAATTTATGAATTTTTATTCTTATGATTCTACTTAAGATATTGTAGTGATAGCCGATTCTATTTAGGTTGTTGATGACAAAGACAGTGACAGGATTGATATAAAAAATCAAGCAGCTTCTTCTTTCATTTCTCAAATAATATGTCGATGTATTTCAAAGAAGATAGTGATAATGAAGATAACGATGCACCATTAGTTGAATATTCCAAGTAAATCGTTAAACATGTTTTATAATCGTTAGTTGTTGATGGATTATGAAATGACTTTTATAAAACCTTTAATTCAATCATTAGTTGTTTATTTAATTTAATATGTATATATTTTTATTTTTATAAATTTTTAGACATTTATGAATACATACAAAAATCGTGAATTGTTTAACAAGTATTTTTCATGTTATTTCATTTTTTTTTAGTATTTAACAGATACTAAATTCTATTTTTAAACTATTTTTTTGTCCACTTGTTTACATATGCATAACCATGTGATTAAAACCAAACAAATATTCTTAAAACCGTATAACTACCTAAATTTCTATACTTATGTGAATTGTTTCATAAAGTTTAATATTCTAAGGTACATGTTTTTCTTAATCGTACTTAGGTTTTTTTATTCGTATATTTGTTATTTCTAAATTTGTTTGTTGTTTAGTCAGTAAGGAAAAAAAAAAAAAAAAAAAAAAAAAAAAGACAAACTAGTAGCTTAAAAATATGTTTGAAGGGAAAATTAGAAAAAATCAAGGAATTTGAAGAGTCTAAAGCTAAAGATGCAACATTTCAGCCTGATCCATAGTAGGTATTGGTAAGTGTTCCCTTACTCCTAAGCAAACAAAATATTTATATGGATCAACCAAAACAAGATTGATTAAGCAACACCTATATTTGACTGTTGACACTAGGAGTTTTAACTATTAAGTAAGAAATTTTAATAAAACTCATTTGGTTAAATAAATATCAAGATAAATGACCTAAAGTTTAATAATGATATTTTAATATATTATTTGCGTAGATGTTGACATTTTAGACAAAGACTCGTCATTAGGCATGCCTTGAAAGAAACTATTGTTATTGATCATTTAAAATATCAGAGGTTTGTATTCAAAATTATCGAACATTAATTGTTGTGTTGATAACTCTCTCAATCAAACGTAAATTCAGAATTTCTAGATTTTCGATTAGGCAGAGTAAAATATGTTTGAGACCTTCAAGAGTCTAACAACTACCTAATTTTCTAACTTTAAGTGAAAACAATCCCTTGCAAATGGCATTAAAAACTTGTTGATGAAAACACTTACTCGCAAGTGTATGAAATCATGTAAATAATATAGTTGTAATATCATATATCAAACCCATATGGACTATCATATCCTAAGTAGAACCGGCAACTCTCGATCCAACTCGTAATCTAATATTGACCCAACCCGAAAATAGACGGGTTTGGGTTGATATTTGACTTGTCAACCCACTTATTTTATGGGTTGAGTTGAGTTATATGTTTGGATCTGCGAGTCAACCCGTCAACCCATATATATATATATATATATATATATATATATATATATATATATATATATATATATATATATATATATATATATATATATATATATGTTACATTTATAAAAATAGATATATTTTAATTATTAAATATTAATGAAAAAGAAAACACATACAACATACATACTTATGAGTCAGTCATGATCACAAACGATGAACGGAAGAACGAAGAACAGAAAACACACAAATCGATTCGTTTACTGTTCACTCGCTAGTCGCTCATGTGCTGTGCTCTGCTCCGATTCGTCAGTCGCACTGTGAAATTTCTTTCTAAATCGGTATTGAAATTGAACTTTTTGTTTATTTCAATTAGATTTTACATTAATGAATATATACATACGAATATACATCCCAACCAGAGGAAACATAAGAAAATTGGTATTGAAATTGAACTCACCAAGCTGTAATGTTAAACGGATTAGTCATGTGAATTAGTTGTTGGAACTGAATCCGGCATGTGCTCATATGGGTGTGGAATGAGTTATCGAATTTGTTTTTGGATATTTTTGAACAATTAAATTTTGTATGAATGTTTTCATTTTCAAATTTTATTTAGATGTTAATGGCTTTATGACTTTATGTTGAAAACCCTTTTTTATGTTAATGACTTTAATCACTTTATGAATTTATGTTGAAAAAAACCTCATTTTTAAAATTTGTTGCTTATTTATTAAACATATTATGTAGGTTAGATTCAACCCATTAACTTATGAACCCATGAACATATTTACTTAAACAGTTATATGGGTTGGGTTGGGTTGAGATTTCCAACCTGCCTACCCGTGACCTACCAACCTATATATTATATGGGTTGGATTGAGTTTATATTTTTTGACCGTCAACCCGAACCCAACCTAATTGGCATGCTTAATCATAAGGAAGAGTGAACTAGGTAATTGCTTTGTGATTGATTTAATCAAACCAAGGAATCAACATGTTCAAAAATATAATAAAGTAAAAATCAGCATGGTAGCACTAAAACTAAAAAGAGTAGGAGATTTAACAAATATGAGAAAATAGGATTTAGTTGACTTTTTCGAGTTCAATGCTTCCTTTAATACAATTAATTTTATGGGTTCAATGGTTTTGGTTCGGTTTTCCGTTAAATAGCTCATCCCTAGGGTAAGTTACCCCGGGATGAGAGGAAAATAAACTATTGAATTGGTATCCTTTGTATGAAGTTAAGTAGTCAGATTAAAAAATCAATGTGAATTGATTCGTATGTGTGTGATTGTTAGAACTAGTTACTAGAAATGATCTAGTAAAGAGATGTCGAGATGGTTTTAAGACACACCTATTGGATAGAAACCGATATAGATACATGAAAAAGACTTGTAAGACCATTTAGACTCTCGATGATATGTTAAGGGCGTGTGTCATTAACTTCGGTAGGAGCTGGGATTCCCACCTACCCCTTGCGGAGTTCGCCTACAATAACAACTACCATTCTAGCATTGGCGCCCCGCTTTTTGAGCTGTTGTATAGGAGGAGATGTCGCACCCCGGTGTTGTTGGGGTGAGGTCAGACACAGGGAGATGGGACGGGTGGAGGTAGTCTTGCAAACTACCGAGAAGATTCAGCAGATTAGTCAACGACTAAAGACCACTCAGAGTCGGCAAAAGAGTTACGCCGACAGACGCCGATCCGAGTTAGAGTTCCAGGTAGGTGATATGGTACTCCTGAAGGTCTCATTCTGGAAGGGTGTGATCCGCTTCATGGAGAGGGGTAAATTGGGTCCCCGTTACATTGGGTCATTCATTATCATTGCTAGGGTTGGCAAGGTGGCATACAGATTAGAGCTATCGAGTGAGCTTATTCGGATCCACAACACTTTCCACGTTTCACAGTTGTGAAAGTGTATTATGGATCAGGAGGCAGTAGTGTCGTTGGATGATATTCAGGTCGATGAGCGCCTGAATTACGTGGAGAGGCCTGTGGCCATACCAGAGAGGAAGATGAAAGTTCTGCGGAACAAGGAGATACCTTTGGTAAAGGTATAGTGGGTGCATCGGAGGGGATCTAAGTGGATGTGGGAGCCCGAGGTAGAAATGCGAGAGCACTACCCGAAGTTGTGCACCGCAGCAGACTTTGAGGGAGAAGTCTAGTTCAAGAGGGGGAGAATTGTAACGCCCCGATTCTCAGGTATTGATTTTTGTTGATATAAAATTTTTCTTCTTCTTGATTTCAAGGTTTACTTGATGAGTAGGTTGCCCGACTCGTCGAGTAGCAACAAGTTGGTCCACGTGTTTAAGTGACCTGCTCGCCGAGTCTAGGTAGGGTCTCGACGAATAGGAGTTGGAGGATGAAACCCTAATTTCCATGGTTTTGCACCCTATTTAAGGGATCATTTGCCTCCCCAGTCTCCCCTTCACAACCCCATTGATATTCCAGAACCCTAATTCCTGTGTGTATGCTACATTGGTGTGTTTAAGCTTTGAATAAGGATTTCGGTGAGAAAAGCTTAGGGAAACAAGTGATTGGAAGCAAGGAACTCGTGGGAATCAGAGATCCACTTCAGTGCGCACCCTTTAGAAGGTATTAAGCCGCCATCTTGACTTCATTCCATTCCACATCTCTTTTGGGTGGATTTTTAGGGCTTTTCTAGCATACTGGGAAGCCTTTCTTGTGTTTGAGCTAAGATCTGAAGTTGCAACTTCAGATCTGAACTCCCTTGGGTCTCTAAGTCCATAAAGCTTCCAGCTTTTGCATGAATGAGACTCTCCTAAGGTGTAAAACTCCATTGCAAGCTTGGATTTGTCATTTATAGTCTCTATAGCCTTGCATGCACGTAAAGTTTGCAACTTTTACGTGATAACCATGCTATGGGGATTTTGATCTACAATATGGAACCTTAGCATGGCTTAAAAAACATCTGTTTGGATCAAGGACTGAAGGGACTTTGGCGAGCCCGATGAAGATTTTCGTAGACTCAGCAAGTCAGTAGAGTGACTCGGCGAGTCAGCTAGGTCTTCCCAATCTTTGGACACATGTGAACTTAGCGAGCTGCAAGAGAAACTCGATGAGTTGGCCAAGGAGTTCAGCCACAAACATTAGGAACTCAAAGAGTCACTCAAGTGACTCGGCGAGTTGACGAGTTATGAAAGGAACTCGGTGAGTGGCTAGTTGC